AAAAAAAAAAAAAAAAAAAATGCTGTCAACAGTAAAAAGGTTTAGTTCAATTCATCTGGAAAATGATGGTCCCTGAATTTGTTAAAAAATAAGTAAGTAGCATTTTGACAGCTTTTTTTGGGCTGTCAAAAGTAATATTTACTGCGAGTTCATAAAATTAGAAGAATACGAAGAATATTTTGTGGGATTATTTGCTGCTTTTAGAGCGTCTCCAATGGTTGCTATTTGGCTAACTATTACGACGTGGACATGAGAAAAGTAGGAGAGAGAGTAGTCACTAGCGACGAAAAAATAGCTTATCTATTTCACGTAGCCCAAGATCACCTTTCGGCTACATCGAATACCGAGTTAGATGCATCAGTGTTGTTCCCTTTGTTCCAGGTGTGTTGACAGATTGTCGGTGAGAGGAGTATGTGGGTCCAATAGTGTAAAATAGTTATTTTTTTTATTTCTCACATCCACGTCAGCTGACCATATAACTATTAATAACTATTACCATTGGGGATGCCCTTACAAGTGCAATCAAAATCAAATTTTGGGTTTTATTCAATCTGGTGATGAATATCACATTTTTCAATTTCTCATGTTATTTATGAATCCTATTTTATATTTTATGATTCGTGTAATTCAGTAGTAATTCAGTACTAATAATTTCACTCACTATGGTGTTAATGACACCTTTTAATTTTGTTCAACATAAAAAATGTAACAATCCAATTAATAAATACTCAGTTTTATAAATCACAAAATCGATTAACAATTAAGAGAGCAAAATAGTAAATCATTATAAATATTTTCAAAAGCTTATCTAAAATTTAAAATATAAGGATTGTTATTATATTTTTTCGATAAATAAATAATGTTATTAATTTAAATAAAAATAGCATATGAAATAAATGTTAATTAGTACTATATTGTAAATATTTTTTACATTTCTATACATATTTTATACTATTTTCTTAATTTATATATATATATTGATTTTTAATAAGTTTAATTATTAAAATATTGTAAATATTT